AATTTGTATGTAATTTGTTAATTATATTTTTATTTCTAATTTCATTTCACTATCTGTACTAGATTTTTGATATAAAGAAGATTTTGGTATAACCTCTTGGATAGTGAAAACAGGTAGGATTTCTTCTGGAAATAGAGGAGGATCGCTGGAATCCTGATGAGCCGGGATGCCAATAAAGACTTTCCAGTCATGGCACTAATTGCTTGAAAAATGGTCACCCTAGCCTCATCCAATTTCTATCATATTGCCAATTGTTCAGCGTCATACTTCAGGCGAAACTCTGCAAACTGTTGTGCAAAATTCTCAGCCATATTGCAACAGGTCCGAGGGATTGTCTGTTCTGATACCAAATGATAAGATCCAGAAATTGAATGGAATGATAAGGGAAATAGAATGGAGAATTAGAAGGGACAAAATTCTGCTTTAGCCCCTCATCTTATCAAGTTTAAAGGTTTTAACCCCTCACTTTACATTATGACACTTTTAGCCTCTCATCTTACTAGATTTATAGATTTTAATCTCTCACCTTATATTATGACACTTTTAGCCCCTCGCCTATTAAAATTGAAAAACATAGTCCTCACCTTGTAACATTTTCTTAGTTCTATTAGCTGACTGTTAGTTGACTATTAGTTAACAAAAACGTTCTTTTAGTTAACATAGTTGACAGAACTAATTTTATAATATTTCGTTAATTCTATTAACTGGTTATTAATTGACTATTAGTTGACAAAAATCTATTTTCAACTAACAGAGTTAACAGTCAGTATAAAGTGAGGGCTTCTTCATCACGATCCCATTTCAGCTTAATTTAAAGTCGAAAGTCAGCCGACATACTTTCACCGTTTTCCTCCACTCTTCCTTTTGTTCGCCAAAAGTGATCTTTGTTACATCTACTTTGAGATATTAAGATTTCACCTTATTTCTGCAATCGGTGAAGGCAAGGATCGCGGTAGGCAGCCAGTAGAGGGTGACAATATTGTCAAAGGTATTGGAGTTGAGAAACTCAATAATGTGCCCTTCCATCGCATTGTGGACCAGCAACTTCGCGTTCTTTTTTAGCTCGGTGGCCGACTCTTTCATTTCCTTTATTTCTTTCTCTTGGGCCTCAATTTTTTCCTTGCAAATTTTTCTCTTTCGTTCTTCAAATGAAAGAGTTGTCTTCAACGAATCCCTCTCATCCTGAAGACTTGTCACTACCGAAACCACCTCATCAAGTTGCTTCTACATTTCCCCTTTCTCCTTCTACAGTTTATCATTTTGCTTCTGCAAGTTGTTACGCTTTTTCACACTTTTAACAAATTCTTGACTCAAAGCGTTAACCTAGCTTGCACTCTGCAATTCAAGCAAAAGTTTAATAATAAAAAAAAAAAGGAGCCAACAAACAACGATAAAACAACTTAACATACCTCCAAGGCGTGTTGAACGACCGTAGCTCCTGCATGAGTCAGCACCTCTTCCCTAGCCCGACGTCGATCCACCTCGGGAAAAGTTGAATTGATGAATCTCTTAGCAGCCGTCGTGTTTTTAGCATCGAAAAGGCTGCTCTGTAGAGAAAGAGAGGGTACAAGTTCTTTCCCTTTCCCATGGGTTGTAACCCTAGTCTCTCTGAGCTCGGGATCAAGCTCAACAAGAGGAGGCCGAGGTACAAACTCTACCACCTTGTCCCCCCTAACCTCTAGCTCCCCTACTTTTTTCTTCTTTTTCTGAGCCGGTTCTAGATCTTCACTTCCTTTTCATTTGAGCTTCGGCCTCAGCTCATCAACAATCGGAGCTATGGCTAATGCACTTGAGATCTTCTCCCTCTCTCTGTCTCCAGCTCTTTCCCCAACGTTTTCAAAAGTCTTTGACTTCTTCCTTGGCTTTTTGGTGATGGCTATCCCCCCAGCAGAGCTCAAAAACTTATCCATCTCAGCTGTAAAATAGCAAAAAATGTTAAAAACATAAGTCAGAACCTAACATTAAATCATATCATGTAAAACACAAACACACCTTCCCTCAACGAGCTTGGCCCATAAAGCTCAGCAGCCTCTATGACATCCAAGCTAGTGAGGTACATGATGTTCAAAATGTCATCTCCCTCCCTCACCAACTTCTCCACCTCTTCCTCCTATCACTATTTAAACTATACTTATTCTGGTTGGCTCTTTTAGCCTTCCATCTAGACAAAAATTCTACTTCAGCATCCTTTCTTTTCCAATCAGTGTCATCAACAAAGAAAAATTTTTCCTTCCATCCCTTAATGGATGAAGGCCCTACACTAAATAAGTTCCTCCTTTCTTTGTTGGACACTCCAGGTGTAAAATAATACCACCCTTTCTCCTTCTTACTCCTAGCTTTGAGTACGAAAAAATGCTTAAACATACCTATTGTGGGGATCCTAATACCCCGAGCTCGGCAATAAACTATAAAACCAATTATTACCCTCACTGCATTGGGAACTAATTGTGTTAATCCTATATTATACTCCAACAATAACCCAACCAACAGTTTGAGGATTGGAAACCTCAGCCCTACCGCTAAGTAATGTGCGTACATGGGCATCCAATGATCCCGGGGTACTGAACATGCCTTCTCTTCCACCCCGGCAGACCTAATTAACACTTGGTATGGGAGGGCATAAGTGTCAACTAAGTAATTAAGGCTATCCCTAGTAACCAATTCAGACTTATACCCCATTACCTCCGAGACAATGTCTGCCTCTCTATCATAACACTTATCACCACCACCCTCAACCTCCAAAACATTCAAAGGAATTCCTTCTTCCTCACCCTTAACCATTTCTTCCCTACCCACCTCACCTTTCGTCCTCTCTAACCCAGACCACCCACTCTCTATACCCACATCACCATACTCCAATGCCCTCACTTCCTCGCTCCCCCCAACACTCAATGTTTCCTCAAAAGACATTTCTTTAGTTTCGTAGCTTTCACTGCACAGAGTAGGGGGGAATGAAGTCAAGATCATGAAAAAATTCTAACTCACATTCAATGTCACTCTCACTTCTCAACCTAACCTCCTTAAGAGGACTTAAATCTAAATCAGAAAAGGTGAGAGGAGAATAAAACTCTTTGCTAAAATCAGAACTACCAAAATTGATAAGTTACCTGATTTCGATCTCGTTAAATTAGTGTGGAAGTAAAAAATGAATGCAAAAACCTAGGCACACAAACTCAAACGAAACTGTAGCAGCACTTCGGTAGCAAATACGGCGAAAGTAAAATATTTTCTATAGAAGTATGGCTATATATACTAATACAAAAATGTGCTTCAACGGTTGTGATCAATTTCATCTGACAATCACAATTACACCGCTTTGAATTTGACAGTTAATTCCTAATGGAACCCTTTCGAATTCAACGGTTCGTTTTCGGGCTCATTTGTTGAACTGTTACAGTTGCTTTTTAAAGCCCGTATTTATTGTACATGTCTTTCAAAAGATAGCTGTCATATCACGTATTTAGTACATGTCAGGCTTTTTACACGGGCCCAACTAAGCCCAACCCAAGTCTTTTTGTTTACACAAATGTCTTTCAATTTTACAAGTATTTAACCTCAGTGACCACGAGTCACACGTTTTACTTTGGCTCTGGCCATAGTGATCTTGAATCACCTGTTTTACTTTGGCTCCGACCATAGTGACCCCTAGTCATCTGTTTTACTTCGGCTCCAGCCATAATGACCACGAGTCACATATTTTACTTCGGTTCCGGTCACAATGACTTCAAGTCACCAATTTTATTTCGATTGCGGCCATAGTGACTGCAAGTCATCATCTCTACTACGGCTACGACCTTGTTGGTTCTCAACCACCATCTTTATTTTGGCTCCGGCCACAATGACTTAGTAGATTACTTTTATTTTGCCCATGACAATAATATTATAACTCTCATTAATTGATTTTGTAACATTTCATCACATTAAGTTATGTATTTCCAAATACGTATACACTTCTCTTACTACCTCTGACTACATCATTCACAAGTAAATGACTTTGAGGGGGGAATAATATAAGGATAGGTCCAAGGTTAAAAACCTCGGACGTACTGCTACTGTTACTTTTCTTTAATGACCGAAGTGAAGGTTAAATTCAACCCTTCTTGGCCAAACAGCTGCACGATAGGAACAGTGGGCATGTCTGCACCTGATTTCCCATTCTTGAGATCATCGCTTGAAGGGATACGTCAGACTCCGATTATCTCATTAAACAAGCCACGTGAACACCTCATTAAGGCCTATAAATACCCCTAGGGGCCATCTCAAAAAGGTAATTGAAGAACTACTTTTGGTTTGATGTAGTTATAAAGTACAAAGTTTTCGTTTCCAAACCTCAATTTTTTTTTTTTTTTGTATTTTCAATTTTTCATAGAAAGGGACAAAAAAAAAAAAGAAAGAGGAATCAAATAGGGGTAAAATAATCAAACAAAACAAAATGCTGTCGCATTAACATCTTAACCTGTGGCTGCACCCAAAAAAAGAAATCTATTAAGCTGTGTCATTGTCCATGGTCTCACCCAAATGAAATGCCTGCCAAATTAATGCCTTTTCATTTACATTTCATTTCCCTAAATTAACGCAACCTTCGCGTCCTATAGACAACTCAACTTGCTGCCCTCAATACCTCTCACAATTCACGGCACTGGGGCCTCTCTCTCAGAGTTCAATTCTGATTGGATAGTATGGCTGATACCGGCCTCATCCTCATCACTCCTCTTATGCCTGAGGCACTTTCCAAAGCAACTTCAATAGCTGCTGGACAGGTCAGCTTTGCCCCCGTTCTGCAGAAGCAGTTGGCAGATCTTGCTCAGTCGCTAACCGAAATTCAAGATGTTGCACAAGGTGCCGAGCAGAGGCAAGAAAGTGATGCGGCCATCAGGCTTTGGTTGCAGAAGCTCAACGATGCTGTTTATGATGCGGTGGATTTGCTTGATAAGTGTGATTACGGTATACTTGTTCTTCAGAAGGAAGTTCAGACTTCAATCCAGAGGCTGAAACAGGTGCACGCCTTCTTTTCTATGGCTAAAAAATTTGAGATGATTAATGAATCTTTAGCTGAAATTAGAATGCTGGTACCACTTATTTATCTGGTTATCCAACTTGGAGAGCGAAACAGTGCAACTGCTTGGCCATATGATGAGATGGTCCACCTTCTTGATTCTTCAGAAGTTGTTGGAAGGGAGGATGATGTCTCAAAAATTGTCTACTTGCTGGATGACCAAAAGACTCAACATCCAATCTCTGGCATTTCAATACTAGGTATGCCAGGAGTTGGAAAGACAACAGTAGCAAGGTCAGTTTATATGAAGGCAAAGGAAGAAAAGCTCTATGATGTAGTAGCCTGGGTGTGTGTATCTGAGGATTTTAATCATCAAAGAATTTTGGGTGAGATGTTAGAATATTTTCATCTCCCTCAAAATAAAAATTATACAACTGATGCACTGCTTCGTGATCTAGGCTGCCAACTAGAAAACAAAACTTTTCTTCTCATTCTTGATGATGTGCGGGAAAGAGATCCTAACAAGTGGAATGTTTTTGCCTCTAGTTTTTCAAAAATTGTGAAAACCAATGGGAACTCTATTGTCCTAACAACCCGTTGTGAAAGTGCAGCATCTGTGCTAGAGAAACAGTTTCCTATTTGTAGGTATGATTTGCAGAGTCTATCAGATGATAAATGTTTGGAGATAATTGAGAAGTTAGTTCTCAGATCATCTGCAAATGCTTTGATATCTTCAAAGCAATTGGTTGCAAAACAATGTGGTGGCTTGCCATTGGTTGCATCTGCCATTGGAGTAACATTGGGCAATCAATTTGAATGTACAAACAATACAGTTTTATCTGTATTAAAAATGAGCTTCTTCAATTGTATGCCTTCAACTTTGAAAAAATGCTTTTCTTATTGTTCAATCTTTCCAAAGGGTTTTGAAATTAGAAAAGATAATTTAATTCAACTATGGATGGCCGGCGGATTTCTTCAACAAATATCTTATGAAAGCCCTATGCCAATGGAGGATATTGGAAATGAGTACTTCAATGAGTTGGTATCCAATTCCTTATTCCAAGATGTGAGAAGGGATGCTTGTGGCAATGTTGAATTTTGCAAAATGCATGATGTGCTGCATGATCTTGCTGTGGCTGTTTCAAAAGGTGAAACTTTGATTTGGGAGAATGGTTCCAATATTGATGACACTTCTAATATTCGCAATTTGAGAATCAAGTATGACGGGGGAGTGCATCCATCCATTCCTAGAGGTATTTCTCAGAGCTTGCATTCTTTGTTTTTGGAGGGTGAATTTACTATTAACATGGAGTCAGATCCGAAAGGCTTACAATCTTTAAAATTAGTCAGAGCTAAAACAGAAGTATTGCTAACTTCTCTCAGGAAATTGAAACGATTAAAATACCTTGAAATAGCAGAAAGCAAAATTGAAACATTACCAGTATCTTTCTCCGAACTCTACTTGTTGCAGACTTTAAAAGTTATGCAGTGCAGTCATCTTCAAAAGCTTCCTGATGACACAAGCCAACTAGTTAGCTTGAGGCATCTTTATGTTGACGATAAGAAGCTTCTACCCAAGCAGATTGGACGCTTGACTTCCCTTCAAACCCTGCCATCATTTTTTGTGGGAACAGGTGAGGGTTTTACAATTGAAGAACTTGGAGGCTTAAGCCAACTTAGAGGGAAACTGGAGATTCATAATCTTGAACATGTGGCATCCAAATCAGAAGCCATTAGAGCAAGACTAAATGAAAAGACAGAATTATATGATTTGAAATTTGTATGGGAGAATGGGAGAGGAGCTACAAACATCAATGATGAGGAGGTTCTAGAGTGTCTCCAACCTCACTCAAATTTGAAAAGTTTAAGAATTAGTAATTTTATGGGAAAAAACTTCCCGTCTTGGATGAATGGTGTCGAGGACTCTAATGCTTCATCTCTATTGGACAACCTGGTAAGGCTGGAATTATCTTCTTGCAGTGAATGCATGTGTATTCCTAGTCTTGGACTGTTGCCTAGTCTACAGGTTCTTTACATTTGTGGAATGAGTATGGTAAGAAGCATTTCACATGAGTGGCTTGGTCGCCTCACCAACTTGAAGGAGTTGCGAATGGGTCCTTTTTGGTCGAATTTGGAGGAATTTCCTGGGCTCTCTTCCATCCATTACCTCCATGCCTCCCTTGAATCTTTGAGTTTGGAAGGATGGGATAAACTAAAGTCTTTGCCAGATGAGTTGCGACATCTCACAGCCCTCAAGAAATTGAACATATCAAGGTTTGGTAGCCTAGAAGATCTGCCCAAGTGGTTGGGAAACCTCCATTCTCTTCAAGAGCTGAAAATTGAACTTTGCTATCAGCTTAAAGGTCAACCTACTCTTCAAGACATGCGACTGCGAGGCCTCTACAACTTAAATTCCTTTGACATTGTCTCTGAAGAAAAATGCAAGGAAGGGCGTACCCCGCGTCAACCCAGAAGTGAGTCCACCCAGCGGCGTACTCAGGATTTAAGGTTAGAGCTTTTTATTAGTAAAATAATCTATAAATTACAAACAGAAAATATTCTAAAACAATGGAAAACAAAATACAACAATGACAAAACATAACATAGATAAACAAATAATGATAACGGAAAAAAATGATGAAATTAACTTTAGTTCTTCTAATGAAATTATTCCAAGTCCTATAATTTAACATGCGAAATACCCCAATTTTAGAATTAAAAAATTAAAAAATAACAGAATAATAACAAACAAAATAGTAAATAGAAACCAAAAAAAATCATAAATTGATTCAAATGATACATTTAGGTTAAAGCCTTTTTAGAAGTAGGGTAATTTGTGCAAAAAAATTAGATTGTCAATTAAAATAAAAAAAAATAAATTAAATTAAGTATACAAATCGAGATTTGCCTTATATGGGATAAACATAAAAATAAATATAAAACTTAAACCCAAGGTTAAATATTTGATGGCAAAGTTAACAAATAATCATAAAATAGGTATAGAATTAGACAAAAAGATGATTAATATAACTTGAAATTATTAACTATGATTCAATCAAACATTGGACATCACGCAGGATTTATAATTAGCAATTGCACTTAAGAAAATTAAAAGTTAAATGATAAGTAATTAAAAGTCCAAATCCAAAACAATTAGCCATTACAATAACAGAAAAGTGTTTGCGTTTGTTAGGACTGACTGGTAGTTCTGTGGGGGTCACATGATGGAGGGTTGGGATGTTGCCAGAACTGCCAGTCACTCCTGAAAAACAGCACCCCCTTTCAATAATAACTAACTACCAAAGAACGTCGCAATAAATTATTATAAAACGTGTTTGAAATTTTGAATGGTAGAGCTATTTAGTTGATAATTAAACTACAACATAATTGACAATTAAGTGGTGGGTAGCAAAAATCAAGCTTAAATTAGCCTTTTTACCTCATGATTAACATGTGTCTTATATTTTTTATTTTATAAGAAAACTTTTTTTAATATTTTAGGGCCCCCACCTCCCTTGGCTCCGCCATTGAGTCTACCGATCAAGAGAAAGTGCATTCATTGGGGCTCATGCCCTCCCCTAGCTCTGCCACTGAGTCCACCGATCAAGGTGATATGCAGCATTCCTCCTCCAGCAATTGGCTTTCCAGCGGAACCTCGCTCTCTAGCCTCCGCGTCTCCCTCTCTGAAAACCCTCACATCTACGACATCACTGAGATAAGTGCCGCCACCGACAATTTCCTCGCCAAGCATTACTCCTCCTCCGCTTCCACCGCCTGCTGGCGCTGCAATTTGCGCGGCAGAAACACTATAGTCTTCCGGAGGAAGTTTCGCAGGAAAATCGAAACCAACCAGCTGAGAGAAAGATTATCGGTGATATGCAGGAGTCACCACGGTAGCATCATTAGACTCCTCGGCGCTTCCCCATTCGGCCACCACATTTGCCTCGTCTACGAATTCATCGAGGGAGCCAATCTCGCCGATTGCTTGAGAAATTCAAGGAACCCGAATTTCACCGTTCTTTCTACTTGGATGTCCCGAATGCAGATCGCCACGGATCTGGCTCACGGCCTGGATTACATCCATAACAAAACAGGACTGAAGATAAGCATAGTTCATAATCACATCAAGAGCAGTAGCATCATAGTGACGGAACCTTCCTTCAATGCGAAGATTTGCCATTTTGGCACCTCGCAGTTGTGCGGCGAAACCGACGAGAACGAAATTGGGAAGGGGAAGAAAGCCGAAGCCAGGGAGATTGTCGAAGTTGACGAAAGAAGCGAAGATAAATTGACGAGGTCGTATAGCGGGAAGATGCAATTCGCAGGCGGGAGAGGCTACATGTCGCCGGAATTCCAAGCCAGCGGCGTCGCGACGCAGAAATCCGACGTGTACGCCTTCGGGGTGGTAATCCTCGAGCTGTTATCCGGCGAAGAGCCTTTCAAATACCGGTTCGACGAGCGAAGCGGCGAATTCATCCGTACATCGGTGATAGACACTGC